CTCAGGTTATTTTGCTGAGGGGAAGATGGTTTTATGATATAAAATACTTTATTTGAGAGGTTTGGTTAGTACATTGAGTGAAGCAGTTATGGAAATTGTTTCCCATATTTTTATGTGGCTGATCCACACAGGTACACAAATAATAAATTCAACATTTTTTTGCTAATATGAGAAATGGTCTCAACTGGATATTTTGAGGAGCACCCTTATGTATGTAAAAACAAAAGAGCTAAAGATGAAAGATGGATGCATTTATATGAATAACAGTGGTCTAAGCAATTAAAGGGGTGGTGGTCTCATCAGTCCGTGTTTTACAGCTGTGGAAAGCTGCGTTTTGACCAAAAAGTACCTGGAACTAAAAGTTCCAAAACTAAAAGTTCCAGGTACTTTTCTTCAGGAACTAAAAGGTTCCTGTGGCCCATTGTTGTCTGTGTTTCCACTGCGGCCTAAAGTCCCGGGAAGACACTTTGAGGACATAACATGAATGAAAATACGGGACAAACTGCGTCCCGTACATATTCAATACAGGACGCAGCATTTTATATTCAAATACATGCCGATCCCGTATTATACGTGATGGGTGGCAACATCAGCCACTCCGGTTGTTGTTGGTCCTTTTTTTTTTTTTAAAGTCCTGTTTCAGTTTTTTTTACCTCCTCCTCTTACCTGTTTCGCGGTGTGGAAAATGTGTTTGCTCGCTCCGTTGCTCCCTGCGGACTTTTTAACAGGGCAGCTGAAGTAAAATGCGGCCAGGACTCAACCAGTCAGAAATGTTCAGCACTGCAGACCACACCCCCCAAAGTTCCTGAACCTTTGGAGTACTACCCCCCCCCGACCAGGTACCTTTTAGGGGGTCGATCAATTACCCCGTAACCAAATTTAGACCCTGGTTCCTGGTGGATATTCATAGTGAATTTCTGTGATTCATCTCGCATGTCCATTACAAGACTACTCTATATATGAACACAGGGTTAGACCCTAAAGGTAATATATTTACTATTAACATAGTTCCTCAAAAGGTCCGTTTCCTTTTTGCATTAAACCTTGTATCGTTTTTCTTAAATTGCTAGCCTTATTTAGCTTAGATTTTCTACCATTTTGTAACCTGTCTAACCTGTCAGCAAGAGCTTTAGCAGTAAGTTTGACAACCCGCTTGCCTTGCGTTTCACATTCAGCAACAGTGTCCTGTTTGCCAACAGCTGGCGCGCTCACAGCTGATGTTATGTCCGTGTCCGCAACGCACTGCTCCATGTCCATTTTTATAGTCCGACGGTCAAACAATTGTTACAAAATTACCAACACAAAGTTTTGATCATCCCCTTCAGCAACCAATGCATTGGACTTACGCCTTATTTTTTGTGTGCACACAACTAAATGGCCATCTAAACTTGCGGTAGCGCTACCTTACCTCCGTCAGATGAAACAGCTGTTGTGTGTCTCCGGCGGCGGGAAACTCCGCGACGTTCGAACCGAATCCTCCAGTCAGCAGCCTGTTGAGATGAGATGTTCTCCGGTGTCCTGGTCAGCCGATGAGCAGATGGACCTCAGCAGATGAGAAGATGCACCGCATCTCCTCTCCGGCGTCCCAATCAGCTGATCAGCCGCAGCTGACTGCGCGCTCCAATCACGCGATCCGTCTGCTCTCCCGCGTTGCCGCAAATCATGGCAAACTTCTTCTCGATTAACTAACAAAACGGACAGATTTTTGACTGAAAGTATAGTGGCCAAGCCCACGCTTTAGGCCACTGAGGTGCTCCACCACGGATTAGTTAATTGACGCACATTTTCACCTTCCGATTAAATGAAATATTGTCCATTCAGTACTTGCCGGTTGTAAATTGTCCATTTATTCCATGTAGTATTTCTTTTCCATTCAAGCATTAATAGTCCAACAACAGCTCACAAATTCACAACTCAACTGCAGCTCCTCTGCCTTGAGTTTCATGTCACCAGGTGAATACAGAGTAGGTTCGGTGAGTGTGTGTGTGTGTGTGAGTGCGGGTGTGGTCAAAAATCTGTTTCCCTTTCCGGGTGGCACCTGAACCTACACAGGTTAGTTCCTACTTATAGTAGATGTCTTAATTGGCTCCTACACATAATGTTAGTTATACTGTCTACCAGCATAGCTAATGTTGCATACACCCAGTGTTATCTAAAATTAGCTTTGGCTTATACATAAAACATACATTGGTTTATGATTACACAGCAGAAAGAGCTTATGAAGCAGTTAGCTATAGTAACCCCCCCCCCATCCACTTCCCAAAACAAAACAAACATGATAATTACCTGTCTAACAGAAATACAGCCACCATCGCATCACTTTTGAGCTCCTCTGTTCCCTCAGTTGTCGCCATCAAGCTATGTCAGTGTTGACTCTTGAACTTTCCAATTTTATTTTCATTGCAGCTTTTTCTGTTACCGTCTTCCTTTGACGAGTGAAGCTGCTGCTGAGGTCAAAGCCTTCGGTGGAACTGGTTTAACTTTCTCTGCCATTCCTGTGCGTCTTCTTCCTCTTCTTCACCTGCGACCCCCGCTTGTCTGACACTGAAGCAGCTCGGTCATGCAGCAATAACCGCGAGTGAACGGCCAGAGTACGTTCGGGCATGCTAGTGGGGTTGGTCAGCCAGCCAATCATTGCGTCCGGGCCGAACGCAATGATTGGCTGAGTTTTTACAGTCCTGTGACTGACACAGAGGATGGATATTTTTCCGTTTATTGTCAGAGAATTCCTTGAGTCGATGACATTCAGCATTCATGTTGCAAGCCGGTAGGTATGTGCCCTTGCATGTATGTGATTGGCCAACGCAGTGTCTTATTGAATGATCTCACATTATGTTGCAGGAAAAGTTGGGCCTGGCCACGCTGACGGCCTGGTTAAAATGAATGAGAGGGCTGTGTTTTCCACACAGGGCTACTGTCGCTCTGAATTTGGCCTGTGGGTCTCTCATATGGTTTGATCTCCTTTTTTGCAAGTTTGGCCTGTAGAATTAGTTACCATGGCAACTGAAATGGGTGGGAGCGTGAACAGTCTTTGTAATACAGATCCCTGAGGTGAAAAGCCTTTGAAAGAAAAGATAGCGGTATTGTGACTGACCTCTCCCAGTGGCTGCAGACGTTGGGATCCTCCAGGTTGAGGGAGGAAGCGATGCAAGGCAGGAAACAGAAGACCACAGCCAGAAGAAGAGTCCTGTGGCTGTGCAGTAACGGAGCCATCTCAGTCAGAGCTGCACCTTCAGACAGGGAGGGATGAGGAGAGGACACAAGTTCACTGTCTGTATCGATAGGTTTCAATCTCACAAAATAATGACGAAAAAAAGAATAAAAAAGAAATTCTTCTACTATCTAGACAAATGGCGTTCCTCACAGATTGTTCTCATTGTGTTTAATTCACCTGGCCCCATAGAGCCCTATATTCATCCCCAGTCTGGCCCCTTTATTTTAAATGGGCCGAACCTTCCATTTAAGCAAGTCAGGTCTCATATTTTTATATGATCATTTCCTATTCAAGTGAATAGGAAAGTGGTCTCAGATTTTGGTCGCCACTGTATCTAAAATCACCATCACCATGAAGGAGGAGGAGGACAGAGAAAACTGAGTCCTACACCCAAACCCCCGTCTGTGTTTCTGTCAGCCATTCAGCAGGGCATATTTCTCTGTCTGCCCAGTGATCCTGACCATGAGTATTCCTGTCACATCACCCAAATCTGAGAGCCAGAGGACAGTCAAATAACTCCAGGCTGATAAAGTCAACTAACAAGAACAGAAAAGTAAACTGCGGTGATGATTACCCACCAGAGTTCATGGATGAAGAAATGCCACCTCCAACTAAACCTCTCTGAAACTGAACTCTTAGTCGTTCCAGCCAATCAGTCTCTTCATTATGACATCAATATCAAAATCCTCTCCCTGACTTTCCTGTCTCTCTTTCGCTGCAACTGTCAGAATAAAGGCAAAAAATGCCCCTAACAATCACGTCATCCCTCAACCCAACCAAGGTCATGAGAAACCTGGGCTTCAAGTTTGATGATTTGCCATGGAAGTAATCCGTTAATGCACAAGGTAGCAGACTATACAATCTGGTCCTGCTGGTAACAATATAAAAGTTCCTGTCATCGGCTTATCGAAGTGATAGGAGTTTTTCAACAATTTTATTGTTTTAAGATCATTTTATTTTTAAACATTTAGAAATAATATTTATATTTGTATTTATTTTTTCTATACTTATATCCTTTCACCAAATGATTTGTCGTCCCACTTGCAATAACTTCATGGCCCACAGGTTGGGAACCACTGTTCTATACAACATCAGACCTGCCATCCTTGGCAAATTATTTTGAGTACCACAACAGTGTAAAGCTTAATTCACATGCTTCCATACCACTTCGCTTTGCACGGTAATTTCCCCACTCACAAACATATAAGTTATTCAACATATGAATCGGCTATGAAGAAAACAATACAATCATATATTCTCCAGAACATGAAAGGACATGTTTACATTTAGGAACAGTCAGCTGTTTGTGTGTGAACAATGTGACGTCAGTTCAGAGGAGTGTGAGCACTGGTTTTTGACTTGCAGAGGGCAGGTTTATATAAGTTCACCTCTAGTTGTGGAACTTTGACCATGTTTTTTCTAAAACATCACTTACACTGGACTATATTCTAATAAACAGTGAAAGTCAAAGGGTTCAGTACAGCTGCTTAAGACCATTTTTTCATGATTAGTCCTGACTCCAGCCACTTATCTCTGCAATGCCTCACACAAAGAGGAGCAGTACATCAGTTGTGTGGATCTAGTTTGGCTTTAAAAGAGAAGATGCTGCACAGCGTCAGGTATTGTGCAGAACCTGCCTTGCTACCGTTGCTACCTCACGGGGCAACACTACTAACCTGTATCACCACAAAGCCATGTACCATAGTTGCATGGCTAAAATGCCGACCACCAGTGTGTCAAGTAAGCCAAATACTGCCCAACAAGGATCACTGACCGAAATGTTTGAAAGCATACCTCCATATGAACGTAATTCAAAATGGCACAGGGAAACAGCAGTTTTTTTGCTACTATAACTGACCTGTGGTCAAACCGTACATGGGGGCCCTATCAGAGTCTTACGGTGCATTTCATTAATGAAGTTTTGGACCTCAGAGCTTTCTGCTTGCACACTGCCTACTTCCCAGACGACCACACAGGGCTGCAACAGGGGCACATTGCAGCCGGCCATGAAGAGAGGCTTGCCAGCTGAGATCTCCATGAAGAGAACAATGTCTGCATAACGACGGGCAATTTTGACATGTTTACAGAGCTGTAAGTTAAACTAATCAGTCAATATACGACTGTGATTGAAGTAGTTAAATAAAAATATGTCATTCATATCAATTCATGCATCATCCAATTTCATCATGACATAAGCCTGGCCTACAGGAAAGAACATTTCATGTTTAACCTATCTAATATTGTGTTAGTCATAATATAGAATGATTTATTGCTTGTGTTTGGTGAATAATACAGAAGATAAAGAACTTAAAATAATAAAATAAAATAATTGCATATTAAATCGCATTATTGGTTAAAAACCCCCAAAACAATAAGATTATTTTCCCAAATGGTTCAGCCCTACTAAGACATCATCACTTCAGTCATCACAAACAAAGAGGAAAGAATACAGTGACCAATAACTCTCAGTGTACAGTAAATATGACATTAGTATTTTGTTAAGAAAACAATCCAAACCTTTTGTTTTAGTTTAATATTAATATATTGGCTAAATTAAAGATGCTGGTATGGTCTTCAATGATGTGTTTATACATCGAAGGAACCCTGTTACAAATGTGAGACGTGTTCTACAAAAGGTGCTAAAGTCTAATCCAAAGTACTGCTTGATTCTCAGGAGGGATTTTTATTTGTATGTCTGGTCTCCTTCCTGAATGGTACAGAAACAGCTGGTTGCTACAGCACGATATGGCAACTTTATTACTCCAGATGCTTGCTGAATATAAAGGGGTCAGTAAGGTTAGTCCTGTGTCTTCTGGCAAGCCTCCTGTTGAAAAAGTTGGTTGATGGTGAAGCCTGTTAGATGTCTCCAGTGACTGTATGGCTGCTGACAGTGTGTCTGTGCAGGCACTTTATGGGCCAGCAGGGCCAGCGCTCTCAGGTTTCACTGAGCGAAGAGAGGGCACAGCTGCAGCCACCAACACTGAGACCCTCCCCACCCCAAGACAACTGCACTGCTGCACAAACAAGGGCCATGCTGTGTGTGTGAAAGGGCTCTAGACACACAACCCCTAATGGGGCGGATTAGGCTGGGCTGCATAACTTTGATACACTGTTCCAGGCAGCACAGTATTGACGCCTCTCTGTCCACTCACAAAGGACTGCCAGGAACCAAGACCTGCTGTCTGAAGTCCCTCCAGGTCCAGACAAAGGCTGTACTCAGACCGTGGACCAATATTTATTTGCAGGCACATGCAGTTTTTGGAGCCTGAAAGCATCCAAATGCAGCTAAAATGAGACATACAGATTTGTGTGATCTTTATTACGAGCTCTGTGCTCAAGTTTTCAACTGTCAGTAAAGGCTTTATATTTGGTGATATCACATGATCAAAGAGTCATTTGTCCGGTCAAAGGACTGATGTGACTGAGGTAGCTCTTCAAAACCACACATACAGGAACACATCTTCAATCATGTGCGCTGCAAAAACATGACATGAAGAAAGGTCATACTCACAAATCATTTCTTATCACGTTATCTCAAGATAACAAAGCTTGTTATAGAGATAACGAGATATTATCAGGTGAAAACGATTTTGATTGAACCTCATACACTAAGTGGCAGTGACTCTCCTCCTTTGCAACAATCCTTAGTAACTCGTTAGCTGACGAGGACTGATTATTATCTGATAATATCTTGTTATCTCTGGATAACAAAAATAATTTTCTCCTCATGATATCTTGTTATCTCGGGATAACCAACTTTGTTATCATTGAGATAACGGGATAAAAAATATTAGCGAGTTTTGAGCGTAGAAACATAACAAAAAACTGAATGACGTTTTTGAAACTTTAAACTAAAGTCTGTGTGGAAATAATTACAGCAGTTGGAGATGAACAATATTATAGAACTTTCCATGTGATATTTAAACCAGCAATAAGCTGAGTTGTTGTGACCTACTTGGTTAAACCTGCCATAATACCCAAATTGGCACAAACGCCCTGAGCAGCAAGTCGCTGGTTCAACTCCCATCCAGCCAGACTTATTGCTGCATGCCATTCCCCTCCTCTCTCCCTGCATTTCCTGTCTGTCCAAAACAAAAGAACAACAACTCGGGGGGCTCTAGTCTGACAGACACACAAGGTTGGCAAGACATGACTGAAATTGTAGGGCTGATAAAAACACACCAGGTTGTAAATTTCTCGACCAGCATGACAGCTACTTATGACATCATGATCATTTGAGGACACTCAAGGCTCAGCTCCACTTTGCCTGTGTCCCAGTTACACACTCTGTCACGATACACTAATTACAGCCATAGTCCGTTCACACTGGTAAACACTACAATTGAGCGTGTGGTGATGGTGGGTGGGCACTCTTGTCCCACAATGCAACAGACAGAAAAAAAGTGAAATTTATAGATGGAATGACTCCGACAACAATAAACAAAAATAAAGCAATAAATCCTTAAAAAGTCAAAGTTGGAATGCACATCTTAGAACAAAGCAGTACAACTACAACTGTACTCTGTCAGAATGTTAGTTAGCATGCACAGCATCACCTTGCTCATGTAATGCAAAGCTTGCAGCGCTCAAATCTAAAGATACTGAAACTTCACTAAAGCTCTGTACACACACATCATCTGAGCATAGACCAGTTCAGTTTTTTTTTTTTGTTTTTTTGCTTTGTTTGAGGAGTTCTTCCAGAAAGACGTGGGCACAAGCAGCTCTCTTACTTTCCCATCGACTCATTAGTTGTACCAAACAAAACAACAGCTGAGACTGATGGAGCTGGCCTACAGCTGACTCTAATGGATGTTAAGCAAGCATGACAAAGTACAGCTTGGACTGATTATAGTTTACCGAGTCCGACCACATAATGTTGACTGTGATGGTCACACTGAGGATGACAGTGAAACAGTGGTACAGAATGATAAACTGCCTCCCTGACTGGAGGGTATTGCAGCAGACTAAAGTTTGAAGCTTCCAACACCCATCACAAACAAATTCTCATCATTTCATCATTTCATTGAGAAACTCATTCAACATTTCTATCCATGCAAATTGTATTTCCACTTCATAACTTGAATCCACTGCTATTTTTGATAAATTAAGTAAATCACACAAAGACGTTTGTTGGTTTCACTTTCCCTGGCACCAGGGATGGAAGTAACCGGTCACATTTACCCTCCTTACACAGTTGCTTTATTGTGGGCTTGGAAAAAATCTGTAATTTCACACTTAAGTATTTTACTTGTTACATTTAAAGTTGAACTCATCACAGCATAAAAACAAAAATCCCATGCTGAAGTTATGTTGAACTGTGTGTGTGAGAACGGGACAAATAATAAGAGTCAAATCAGTAGCTGCAGCACAGAAGAAGCTGCTGTTTTCATGCACCGCCCAGCGGCAAGTGACCCACATCAAACACACCTGCTGTGTTGCATGACCAACAGGTGCATGATGGGTCTACAAATGCTTAATGCGTCAATACTGACAGTGCATCTTTCAGCTGTGGCTTTTATGTTGACTTCTATGGTCAGTGAGGTGTGCACCACCTCTCTGCTGTTTTAAATAATCCCTGTTATGGCTGTTATGGCTAACTTGGAAGAGAGTGAGACAGAGGCTGAGTGGACTGATTACATTTTGCATTGAGAAGCCGATTGTGGAGGACTTCACAGTGCACATGACTCAGGGTGATGTTCAGACAGTTGTGTACAACAAATGATCAACCATTGCTGCATTGCCTAGCAGCATTTTTTCTGTTCTAAAGTTTATGTGAAGTTTATGTTGTTTATAAATCTCTGCCTTGTCTGCTGCTTTCTTCTGCTGTTGATTCTAGCAGTTATTTGATTTATGTTGTTTAATATTGCTGCATCAAGTCTATGGACACCAAGCAGCAATGCTGAAACATAAAGCCAAACCTTGAAGTACCAAAAGCTGCAGTTTCTCTAATGACAACTAGAGTCTGGCTCCAACAGTGAGTCAGTCCCCATAGACTCCCATGTTAAAATGTCCAACTTTACAGCAGAAATACATGTAGGCTGTAAAATACATGTTTACAGCCTGGTACAAAAACTTTTTTGGTCTCTAGAGCTAATTTCCTCCTTCATAAAACCTGTTTATATAACTCACCTGTTTACATTTTATTAAGATTTAAAATTATGTATAATTGAGGGTGTGGCCTCTGGCCACACACTCTCCTTCTCTTTGACCATTTTTGGATTAGCTGGGAGGGGCAGAGTCAGACACTACCTAGATGACGACAGTGGAGCAACTCACTCTGAGCTTCAAAACTACTCTTCAGAAGCCTGTGGGTGATGTCAGAAGGTTTTTTAATTGTATGGGATAATATGGTGTTTCACTATTCTCTCTCAGTCACAGTGGTTTACAACCCATCCCACGAGGGTGTCACTTTTCCTCCCACCTTACTCTCCATTCCTCAACCCCATAAGGAATTATTTTCCACACAAGTGTGGTTGAGGAAGTGTGTGGAAAATGTATTGTTGATGTCTCTCCTGGACACAATGAATGCTGGATGCTGGATGTCTGTATGTGTACTGATTTCTTTCAGTGACACATACTGTAAGGCAGCACAACTCATGTAGTAACAAAGAGTTATTCTTTTTGTTGTACTGGAATCAGCCTGGACACAGCCTCTTGGAACTTGCTCCCGGTGCAAACCTCCTCCCTGCCAGCCTCATCTTCTTGTCTTCGAGATTCTGCAGATGTAGTACTTGGCATGCTTTGGTCATCTGGTATTCTTTTGCAAGGTCTTAGTGGGAGCGGTAGTTTTGTTCCTGAGCTGTAGAGGACAACCCTACTGAAGCCGTCAGGTTCCCCTCGCCATCTTCTCAGGTTCCAGATAAGATTTCTCTCCATGGCTTCAACTGTTGTCAATGGGAACTTGTAGACTAGGAGGATCCAGAGGAAGCATGGCAGGACCCGTGCTAATCCACCTGCTGCATCCAATCTTCAGCTTAGACCAATGTCTTCCTCAGGTGTCCTTGATCAAATCACACACTGGTGTCTACTTTCCCTCTTTTTAAGACCAAGCT